TTTATAATCATTGGTTTAGGCAAGGTTACATGCTGGTTAGACCAGTGTTGGCTTAATGGCTTCAGCGTGCGACTCTTATCCTTGAGGTCGTAGGTTCGATACCCGGCTGTGCACCAATGGTCTTTGATTCTATGTGCGCATTTAACATTCGCTCGAACGGTAAAGGAATACATCGTGAGGAAACCGACTTGCCTTAGACCCAAAAAGTCGACGGTAGGCTGATCACCTTATTGCCTATTAGATTGAAAAATTATCATGAAACAGATACAGAAACCTGAGCCCCAGACCTAAATAGGTTGTAGCGACAATATTTTTTAATGATGCTTTAAAATACCTTTTATGGTCCCCAATGATGCCTAAACGAGTATTCAGGCGTTAAATATTAACAAAATCGTGACAATAAACACTATATACATTATACATAGTAATTTTAGCTTCATTATATTCCATATAACTTGGGTGATCTATCAAGAAGCACGCGAAGTTCATGAATATTAATTTGTAATTATAAGCTGATCCATCGTTTTCTAATCCTCTTTGCTATAAGATACGTATTAGAAATTATAATGAATAATAAAAACACAATGGCGCTTACACCTTTTAGATCAGGGTCTCAGATGGATGTATCTCTTTCATAATGGTTTTTTCTAATAGGTACGTAGGTTATCAGTCTTCTGTGCCTGACACATGACTTTTTGGGTCTAAGGCATGCTGGTTTCCTCACGATCTTTTCCTTCACCGTACGAGTATTAAATGCATTACACAAGACTTCATTATGTACACTGGTAACTATTATTATTTCTTTTTCTACTAAGTATTTATTACATTAATTTTTTCTTTTTTTGCGACTGAGGCGCAAACTAGCTGCTGTGGTCTCTGGCAGAATGACCAGCGCTGTGGAACATTCTGCTCCTCAGCATTAACCTGAGCCAGGGCCAATTGCAGCCACAGCACACACGCATTACACACTTGAACGAACCGAATGGGAAAAGGGAATTATTTTTAATTTTTTTTATTGTTTTTGATATCTTACATATTTATATGTTTTTGATATGTCTATGTCAATGGTCTATATCAACATAAATAATAATTGTATATTTTATCCCTCTGACATTGTGTTTATGGTGTGATGAAAAGAGATAGACAAGTTTTATAGTAAACTGTGTAAGACTGATTTAGGTTTTGTGAATAACAAACTTATTGTCAATATGTCTTCGCTTAGAACATAGAAAAATACCAGCTTCACTTAAAACAATCTTATTAGACTGACTTAATTTCTATAAGTTTCTAAACGATTACGAGTCTGTTTACAAATTCATATTTGCATTAAGATATATATTTCAAATTTTAAACCTGATACAATATAATATTACAACGGATGACCTAATAAGTCTTGAATAACGCAGTTAGCACACAAGAGCCAGTTAATTAGCAATAATGACATTATTAAGCTCGACTTGGCCTCGATTTAGGAATTCCTCTTAAATTCAGGTCAAAACGTAATATTGAAAGTTGTTGAAACTCAATAATATTGCTATAGTGTGGTTTAAGTCATCTCAAATATAAATAGATGGATTTTTTAGAGATAAGAGCCACAACAGTTAAAATGTTCTAAAAAACCAAAAGAAAAATGTTATTTTTTTTAATATTACAGTGGGCAAACGTTACCAAACATAGACATTGCCCGAAAGCTCGCAACTGCGTTGTCAGGCTTTTAAGATTGGTACGCTCTTTTCTTGAATAATATCGTTATAGTGTGGTTAACTCATCTTAAATATAAATCAAAGGATTTTTTAGAGATAAGAGACACTACAAATTATATGAAATGATCTAAACAAATTCAATCGAAAAATGTAATATTTTTAATATTACAGTGGGCAAACGCTGCCAAACATGGACATTGCCAGAAGGCTCGCAACTGCGGTGTCAGGCTTTTAAGATTGGTACGCTCTTTTCTTGAATAATATTGTTATAGTGTGGTCAACTCATCTTAAATATAAATCAAAGGATTTTTTAGAGATAAGAGACACTACAAATTATATGAAATGATCTCAACAAATTCAATCGAAAAATGTAATATTTTTAATATAGCAGTGGGCAAACGCTGCCAAACATGGACATTGCCAGAAGGCTCGCAACTACGTTACCAGGCGTTTAAGAATTGGTACGCTCTTTTCTTGAAGGACCCTAAGTCGAAATGGTTTAGACATATATACTTCAGTGGGTCGCTAGTTCCACATAGTAGTGATGCGGCAAATAACTGTCTTACAAAACGCTCAGTTGTGGAACGACGAACGTTGAGTAAAAGTTAATGTTGACGTGTAAAGTTTGTTTATTCTACTTCTATCTGTATTAGTTAAATACAGACCACAGTAAGACAAATCCTTATACGAACAAAAATTAGTTCAGTGTATTAACAAATAATAACACTTTTCCGTACATGATAACAGATGTTTTCCCAATATTCGAATCTTGTTTTCTAACTCTCCGATCTACACATTTCTGAGTCTAATTTTTACTTGTTTTTAACGACTACATCTCCTAACCTCCCAATTAATAGTTTTGTCAGGAATCGAACGCGAATGGAGGCGCATGAAACTTAAACACTAAGACTAACCAAAGATCTGTATGGATTTATTTTACTCCCTATCCACTGTGGCTTTACATATTAGATACAAATGAAGTATTGATTATACGCCAGGGTAACGTACGTATATGTTAATTATACTTGTTTAAAGCCACTAATAATACACTCCGCTATATTAGTTAAGTTATATTATCTCGGTGAACGCAATTGTATATCAAATGCATACGTAAGAAACTGTATAATTGCATACATGTGTTGACTACACATGTATGCAATTTATTTCAGAATTCTTACACTGGTACCACATTACATAAATTTGTCGCGTTTTCTTGACATAGTTGTTAACCGCCATCTCTACGCTTGGATCCTTTAATTTAAGTAAGGGATTTCAATTTCCGCAATACAGAGGTAAAAACAAATATGATTAGTACATAAAATAAAGAGCCTATAAATTTCTTCTTTTTTTGTAGCGAAGCGGCGTTGACCATAGAACATTTAATCTCTTTCGAATAAAAATTACGTGATTTTTGTAATTGAGACCCGAAATTAGGCCAGCAATGGCAACGAATATACCAGTTTTACTCGGCTAGGTATTTCTTTTATATTTTACAAGTAAATATATATATAATATGTTTAATTAAGATGGTAATTATAAAGCATTGTACTGGTGAATTTCTCTCTAATCTCTACAATATTAATGAAGACACAGTTCATTCTGTAATAAATATTAAATTAATTACAATATTACTTATTTATTTTATTGGATTTATCATTGGGATTTTTTTGAAATATAAACACTCATTGGTCTAATGAGAAAAAACGATATAAAGGAACTAGAAACTAATTCATGAACAGTCTGATTATAAACTTCCTAAGAACGAAAACTTAATATTTACAGGAAATCAAAATACAATATATATCAAATATATGTAAGCAATCTAATCTGGCTCCGTTAGTCCTCGGGATTAGATATGTGAGTAATGTATGAGTATTGCCAGAGATGTAATGGCAAATTGTATTGAAAATTTAATTTAAAGCTGCTATAACATCTGTAACTAAAGTTATCTGATTTACGAAGACCAACAGTCAGGCCCTAGTGGATTGAGCGTGCAACCCTGGGTCCGTGTGATTTAATCACGGCTATGCACTAATGGACTTTTCTTTCTATCTCATTCAAATAGTAAATGATTTTTACGAGATTAAATGTGTTAAACACAAAATTGCATGTTCCAGTCACAGAAGCCTCGCACATAAGAAAAATATCAAAAAACCCATGACCAAGGGATGCAGCATCACTGTTTTTTACTCCTATTACCCAAAGCTAAAATTCTTTAAGCAAGTGACATTCACTTTCCGCCGCGACTGTATAAAACGACAAACATGGATTTTCATATAGCTAATAGATACGTGTGATTTGTCAGCTTTTTTAAAATATATTTAACATAGCAGATGGATGTAGAAGGCTTACCTGATGTTAAGTGATTCCCATAGACACTCATATTTCTAGAAGGCACGCAACTGCGTTGCCAGCCTTATAAGAATTGGTACGATATTTTCTTGAAGAACCCTAAGTCAAATTGGTTGGTGTTGGTTATTGATTTTTTAAAGTTTTGTAAATGGTTAGAATACAACAATAATTGTTAGAAATGTTGCCAGTTCAAATATTTAAGAACAAGATAAGTCGAAATTTTTTTTCATAATACACAAAACGCTTTCATTGTTTGCTATAATTTTACAAGTGTTCAGGCCATCCAAGTACCTATCGTCCTCTCTGTTCACATTTTGTGTCCTTACTGCACCCATTCCTTAAACACCACTAGATATCTCTTGCCATACTGAAGTGAAATTGGACCGTTATACATGCTCCCGCGCTGCAAAGAAAACTTGTACCCGCCGTCGCGAGGTCACGCTTCTTGTTGCTTTAACGCTTGTGCTAACGCTTTTATTTTGTCGTCCCACAAAGTGAAGAGACGGAGGACTAACGGTAAGCAGTATTTCTATATATTTACGCCGCATTCCACTTGCCCCAAAGAACAAGGGAAAGAAAGTATTTCACAAATACGATTGACAGTATTAAAAATAGTGAAATGTTAGTGCGGAACTTTCATTGATCGACTTCATACGTATCAGGCAAGATTTGGTCCTGACCCATGTCTAGGTCAATATCAATCGCGATATCTCGGAAAGTGCATGCGCAAAGCAGAAATTCTATGTACATCTTTTATCAATTAACATTTGACACAGTACATTTTTCTTTCTATATGCGATTATTCAATAGCATACACCTAAATACAAGCAGAAAAATGACGTGAATTTTAATAAACAAATATAAGTGCTCTTCAAAAATTTAATGAAAAGTAAATTTAAATAACAGAGACAATTTCGACTATTTTACATTTCTGACTAAACAAATTCAAAGGAACAAAGAATTCATAAAACCGCTACGTAATTCGTAGCAGACGTAGCTCGCGGTAGAGGCGTAGCAAGGTCGCAGGCTGCGCGGGATCCGCTCATGACCCACTTCCGGGTCAAGATCAGCGGATGACGTCACGCGTTTGCGCACTACATTTACGAGGTCTATCAATGGATTCACATATCAAATATTCATACTTCAATGTCTTCCTCTCCTTGAAACAGGATATTATATGAATTTAACTTTAGCAAATTTAATATTAATTACTTGCTTTATTTATATAATTTTTAACCGTGTCTTAACTTCAGTTATTTAATTTATTTAAATAATAAAATCTGGTGATTTGGTAAAATGTTTTAATAAATAACAAAATTTATATGCAATAATAATATAATATAAAAAAATAATTTCATTTTACTTTTATGGCATAATTTTCTCATGAAACCAAATTAAAATGTATCGGAACGTACGAAAGATTCGTAATTTAACAACTAAATTTTGTTTTACATTAATCTATTTTTTTTTACTGGAAGGATATCTGCAATATCATTACTAAACAACAGGTTTTCTTGGCCCGGATTTTTTTAATGTCATCAATCAAAACATAATAAAAGGAATATCGTAAAGCACAAATTGGTACTAAAGGAAATCAAATAGAATATTGAAAAGGAATTCCCGACCCGACAGTCACGCCCACACAGTCTGCTGGCACACTTGTTCATAACCTAGGATAATGTCACTGATTTAATAGGATATTTAATATGTATTAAAGGGGTCAACTTCAAAGACTTTTTACTAGAATTAGTTGGTGCGTGATACGTGCTAATGACACCATTTAACTAGCCTAATTTTATACTACTATATCCGTAGAAAACGGTTTTGTTTTCATATGTTGCTTCAATCATGTTTATCATGATAGTTTTCCTAACAGTACGAGCAAGCCGAGAGTCGAAAGCAAGACCTCAGAGCTTAGAATACCAATCACAATAATTCTTTATGCTTTGGTGATTTTTTAAAATTTACAAACGAAACAGATACAAAAATCTGAGGTCATTAATTTTAGCGTCACTTGTTTTTTTATCGCCAGAAATATGACATAAGCTATTTATATATATAAAAATGAATCCCTATATCCCTTGGTAATGGCATCACGCGTGAACGGCTGGACCGATTTCGCTAATTTAATATATATTTTTTGGTGTGTTTGTTATTGTCAGGGGAAGGTTCTTATGAAAGAAAAAATTAAGAAAATTGCGCGGAAAATTAGTAAATTTAAGAATACTTATCCACCATATAAAGTAATCCTGACTTTTGTTACATTGATAAAATACATAAATCACATGTCGCCTTTTTGCTATTTCCGGACCTAGCGCTAGGACCCCACGGACCAAGGGTCTCGACACCGAATGGGACTAAATCATATTCTAGACCCCTGTATTTGGATTCTAGTTTTATTTAATTTTTCCTAGTTTTTTAAATACGTTTTCGTTCGGAATTTTGAGTGTAATCTTTAAATTCACACTGCGTACTTACAGTCTTGTTCATCGAATTAATGAATATATTATTTATGTTATCTATTATATATAGGTTTGGTGCTTACAAATTGTTAAATATACACTAACCGAAAAAGACACATGAACCTTTTTAACAGCTAATTAACGCTCACCGTTCGGAAAATAATTTCCATATTGAAAACGATCTTCACAAGCCTCCATCCACATCATTTAGCCTTATAATTAATAGCTGAAGAGCTGCTTTGTTGCAGGTTTTAATATTCTGGTTGTTCATGAAGGTTTAAATCATAACTGTAAAGATGTAATGATAATTATATAATTAACCAATATAACTGTATATTAAATCCATCTTTCAAAAAGTAATTGGTGTTTTTTTAGCTATCGAAATCTCTAATATCTATTGATAAAAGCCTTAAAATCTCGATTAAAAAATTTATTACGAGTTTTTTGTAGACTACATCCTACGCTAGCACCCTTTTATTGAGTGACAGGTGTCAACCCTAATATGGTATTATTAAAAATCCTTGAAAATGAACACAACGGGGATCATTACAATCCTCTCATGTTAATGGGACTTTACCTGATCAAATTTCAATATTTTTTCACGTAAATGATGAATTTGTTATCGTAGAAATATTTTTTTAGACTGGATTTGAATTAGGTTAATTAATAATGTGAGCAGTGTTGGCCTAGTGGCTTCAGCGTGCGACTCTCATCCCTGAGGTCGTAGGTTCGATCCCCGGCTGTACACCAATGGACTTTCTTTCTATGCGCGCATTTAACATTCGCTCGGACGGTGAAGGAAAACATCGTGAGGAAACCGACCGGTTAACCGTTAGACCCAAAAAGTCAACGGCGTGCGTCAGGCACAAAAGGCTGATCACCTACTTGCCAAATGATCATGAAATAGATAATCTGAGGGTCAGACCTAAAAAGGTTGTAGCGCCATTGATTTATTTTATTTTTAAATTAATAATGTAGGCACCATAAGCGAACCGCAAGTATAAAGTGTGGTCGTAGATGTGTCAAAGTAAAAGGTGGACGTACAAAAAGACACTTTTTCTAGTCTGGCCTTTCGCTGTGATTGAAACCTGTGCTTTGAGGTGTATGAGAATTTGTGTTAAAATATTCATAAATTATAGAATATTACATATATAGAGATGTCAAGGCCACAATAAAACAATATAGGAACTCCACATCCTCCGGACGAGTTATCGCATTTTATCACAGTACTTGTATAAAATGCGATATATATATATATCATATGTTAGGAATTATACTTCTGTTTCGGTATTAAAATATTCAGATTAATTGATATTTTTCATAGTAACATTTTAACGAGAAAATTAGATTGATTATTTAAAAAAATTAAAATGGTGGGAAAATTAAAAGAGAAAATGCTCCGTCCCGTATGTTTGTATATCCGCGATAAACTCAAAAACCATAGTAGGAATTTTATTTTTGTTTTAACTCACTAATAAAAAAAGTTATAAATGAGGAATGTTTTGTGTAAATTAGTTAATATTACGATAATTTCAAAGGTTTTAGAAGTGAAGCCACTATTGATTGCATATAATTTCAAGGTTGCATCAGTAGGCATGATAAGCTCTACCCGTGCGAAGTAAGGGCGGGTACAAATTTCAAACAACATTTTCTATTTAGTTGGTTAAATAAAGCAGCATACTTGTCATAAACCTTTGCTAATAAAACAAATACGTTGGCCAAATGCTGTTAATAAATAATTTAAAATTATTTAGGGCACAAAATATAACTATTTCAATTATAAATCATAAAGCAGAAAATCAATTGGAATATAAACAAAACTTACCAGTAATTAAAAGCTCAGTTATCTGGCTAATATCCAAACTTATATTGAATATGTAAAGCAAAGTTTAGATAAATGACCGGTCCATTAGCAAAGTAACAATATAATGGCTGTATTATGAGACTCATTTAAATTGCTTCTGATATTCATATTTTAATTCAAACGCTTTGATAAGTTTCAATATAATTTGTACATGACCTTGGTGCTCCTAATATTGATATTGAATTACATATAATCATGAAAATTAGATTTTCCTCTTATTATCATAGGAACACTTAGGAAAAACGAAATTTTTAAATAAGAAAACATTAATGAACTAATTTAATAGGTCGAATTTATGTAAGTTAATAATATTTAAATATATACATATTTCTGAGTTGGACATACAATATAGATTAATTGGCGAAATTAAATAATATTATTATTGTGAAAAGCATAGGTCGACACACGTTTGAGAAAGTAGACGAACTACAAAAGCTTTCGAAATTTCTTCATGTTAGGAAACGAATATAAACATTAAATAAAAATAAAAAGCGTAACTACAATTTCTTATTCTCTATGTTGATTTGTAATTTAAAAAATTCCAGGCCAAGAGCAAGAGTAAACCAAATACACACTGGTTCGATTCTCACAATTTAATCAAACGTAATAAATAACTTCTTTATAGTATAATAGCTGTAAAAATCCACTTAATATACGTAATTAAGGTTTAATCAAGTAGCGAAAATTGCAAATAATACTGGAGTTACTGGTCAATATTATCGTATCAATGTCAGTTTCTGACGGCGCAGTTAAAAGCCTTAAAATTTTCAAAGTACAAAAGCTAGTATAAAATCTCATAAATAAACTAAAATGTGCGATCCATAAATCGCACACAAATTGAACTCTGTCGAGGCCACTAACCTTCAGTGAGGCGCGCTTCACGTGAATCGTCGAGGATCAACAGGTGCGGCCGCCTTGCACGACCGAGCTCGAGCTCGGCTGACGCGGTGCTACTAACTCGCGGAACGCCCATCCCGGCCGGCAGTCGGGGAGCGAATGGCGCTCACCCCTTGCCCGTTGCCTCAGGTGAGGGCTGGACCTTGAAATTTGAAAAAGGAACCCTTTGTACACATGTTTGAATTGAGAAATACACTTGGCGATAGAACGCTCCTTTACGAAAACATATTTTGTAAATTTTAGGATAGTATCGGAATTCGATTGAATAAGTCTATCCAACTTAAAAAATTAAAACTCTTACCTTATATCTCGTTTTTAATAACTAGATAAAATGCGCAAGTTTGAAATTTTGTGTGAATGTTGATTTTATTACGTCTGTTATTTTACGTGTTCGGACTTCGCTTAGTGCTTTTGTAAGCTCTACGAAAACAGTTGGGAATTCGTCCGTGCAATTTCATGGAAAATGAATCTGCTTTAATTCGCTTGACTGTAACAAAGAGGAATCCGGGTAATCTGGCTCCAATGGGACTTCCTGTAATTTCTGCATGTTTAATTTTCCCCTATTTTTCTTTTAACAATGTGACTGAATATTAATTATTATTCAAATCATTGTAAATATTATATATAATATAATTCATAAGTAATGAATTGCCATGTAAAAAATATAAAGACCTATATTAAAATTAATTTACTTACATTATTGGTACAATTATTATAAAGAATTTAATAATTTTTTAGTATGGGCTAATTCATTTTTAAGGGTATAACATTTTAAGCACCCATATTTTAATATAAAAGTTTCAATCTAAAGTCCTCATACAAAGTTTGAACTTGGAAAGCGCTCAGCTGAACAAGGTTGCCGGGTACGTCACTCGTCACCTTCTGTATAGATAGATAGATTCTACGGTTGAAGAAACGTATGGGTGAAACGTATATCTCATAAGATCAAACTCAAACTCAAACTCAAACTCAAAATATCTTTATTCAAGTAGGTAACCAAGTACACTTTTGAATCGTCAAGTTAAATTAATCGTAAATTTACATTTACTACCAGTTCGCAAGTCAAGGGCGTAGAGCGGGTAAGAAGAACTGGCAAGAAACTTTCCGCCACTCTTTTTAATCGCCAAGTATTGTCATACAAATTGTTTGAACTGGAGCAATTCAATCCCAAGGATTAGGATCATTTAAGTAGTCCTCAAATTTATAAAAAGCTTTGTTGATTAATTTTCGTTTAACGAGGGCTTTGAATTTATTTAGTGATAATTCTCTAATTTCGCTTGGGAGCTTGTTGTAAAAACGAATACAATTTCCATATAAGGAGTGGTTTATCTTTTGGAGCCTGGTTGGTCGTACACTCAAATTAGTTCTATTTCGCGTATTATACTGGTGAAAGTCACCATTTGTTTTAAAATCGTTTATATTTTTTTTGGACATACAACAAGGCTTCAAGAATATATTGACCAGATAGTGTCATAATATTTAATTCCTTAAACTTATTCCGTACCGACTCCCTCGGAGAAACACAACAAATACCCCGAACAGCCCGCTTCTGCAGCACAAATATGGATTGAACCTCTGCAGCAGCACCCCACAGTAAAATGCCGTACGACATAACGCTATGAAAGTAGCTATGGTACACAATTTTAGCCGTGTCCTCATCAGTAAACTGTCGGATTTTCTTTACTGCATATGCTGCAGAGCTCAGCCTATTCGAAAGAGTCTCTATGTGTGGGCCCCATTGGAGTTTACTATCTATTGTTATGCCTAGAAAAACAGTTTTGTCAACAAAGTTTAGTTCACTGTCCTTAATTTTCAGGTTACCAATATCTCGCTTTACGCTAGTAGTTGTAAATCTAATACATTTTGTTTTATTCTCATTAAGCAATAAGTTATTTACATTAAACCAGTTAACTATACGAGAGATAGAATTGTTTACATCGTCCAATAATACGTTATTCCTATTCACTTTAAATAGAAGTGAAGTGTCATCAGCAAACAATACCATCTCATGAACTTCGTTGACAAAGAATGGGAGGTCATTTATGTAAATCAGAAATAAGAAAGGCCCGAGAATCGATCCTTGGGGGACGCCCATTGATACCTGCGAACCCGGAGAGGTGACTCCATTGACATGAACTCTTTGGATCCTTCCCTTTAAATATGAATTCATCAGGCTGGAAGCTTTGCCATCAACGCCATAGTGTTGAAGCTTTCCAACGAGTATATCAGGATGAACACAGTCAAAGGCCTTTGACAGGTCACAAAAGACGCCGACTCCATCATATGATTCTTCCCAGGCGTTAAATATGTCCGAAATCAACTTCACACCGGCATCGATTGTGGAGCGACCCTTAGTGAAACCATACTGTTTATTATGTAAGAGTTTATTTTTATTAAAATGTAAAGAAAGCTGGTCTAGCATTATCTTTTCAAAAACTTTGCTCAACGCAGGGAGCACGGAAACGGAAGATCTCTGTTTATATATATATATATATATATATATATATATATAGATCTTTTAGATCGGAGCATGCTCAAAATTAGAAAAATAATAAAATAAGACACACAAAGTTAAAAAGCATTACTAAAGGCCTAAACTGCTGGCAGTGCGGGTGACTAGAGCATGATGTATTTTGCCCACGACTGAGATACCAAGAAATCCTTGGACAAGGTCTGCTAAAGGGTTCTTATAAACCAAATAGAGTATTATATATATATTATCTTTAAACAAAAGGGTGGAATTTTCGACCTATAGTTTAAATTTTTAATATTATAAAAAATATTAATAATAGCAGGCTTACCTGATATTAAGTGATAACACTGATGATGTACAAGAACTGCCAGAAGGCTCGCAAGTGCAATACCGGCCCTTTAAGAATTGGAAAGTTCTTTTTTTGAATTGATTAGGAAATACTTTAGTGGTATTTAAAACCTTTAAATTTAATGGAAATACTTTTTTTTGAATTTATGGCCAGCCCTGCGATTCTGTAACTCACTTTTCGAACTCACACAGCGGTTTTCGCATCGGCGAATCTCAAATCAGTCGTGAAGCAGTCATTTTATGATTTGGCATTCTGATAAACAATAAACTACAAGCTCCCACCTTTTCAGATTTGATTTGATGATTTGAGAGCGACCGCCGATGCGAAAACCGCTGTGTGAGTTCGAAAAGTGAGTTACAGAATCGCAGGGCTGGTATGTACCTTTAGGCCAAGTCTTGTGTATTTATATTCGGTTTATTATAATGTCCCCACTGTATTTTTGATAAATTTATATAGAGGCGGCGGGAGGGTAATACAAATACAACTTCATTATATAGGTGGTAAAAAGATTGCAAAAAGACAAAAAGAGGTTTTACAGAGACTTACATTAGTTGTCCATTTATACATAAACACTTTCATAGTGTTTGTCATACATAATACTATATCTACGGTATATGTTACAAGCTATTTTATCTAAAATATATGACACTTTTGGTAAACATAAATGTTACAAAAAAAAACAATAATAATATATATAAAATAAAAATACTAGTGTTTTAATGCGTTCTTATCACTTCTTCCATCACTTACCAGTAAAATAAAGAAATATGTATTAAAAATAGTTAAATTTTTCGAGCAAATGTATAAAAAAATATCTTTAATGTCATATTTTGAATTGAATATAATATAATGAACACAAAGAACTGACAAGAAATAATCCGTAGCTGTTTTTAATTGCCAATTATTATATTTTATAATGAATATATAAGATGTTACAAGCATTACATGAAATTAATTATAAAAATAAAATACCTTTACAAAAGTTTTAAGTCGTTTTTCAAAATTATTTTATATAGAATACATTTGCTAGTAAAAACCATAGATATAGAAAGAACGCGGTCGTGGTGTGAGCGTAGCACCTAACGTCTACAAAGTGTGCTACAAGATTTCAACTACTTAAGATGCGTAGGCGCCGAACTATATAAAACTTGAATCATAATATATAGTTGACAAACGATAAAACCTAACAACTTAACTTAAATATACACCACTTATTGTATAGACTTCAGTGTTAAAATAACAAAATACACAATGAAATAAAAATCTGAAACGAAGAATGATTTTACAAAATGAATTAAAAAGCCACAAAAAAATTTATACAGAGAAAAGTGCAAAACCAACTGATTTGTGTAGCATTCAATATTTTTTCATAAAGTACTTTATTTAAAATAAAAATGGAGAAACATAACAGATAATGTCGTTTATAGAATTCATTTATACTACTTAAAAAAGCACTTCGTTTCAGATTTTATTACCTACGTTCCATTCTTTCTTAACACCTTACCATACAAAAAGCATGCCCTTCATGACTTTAATATTCCCTGTCCAAACTTGTTAAATATTATATGTATTTATTCACAAATAAAATAATTTAAAAAATCATTGGTGCTACAGCCATTTTTAAATTTGGGCCTCAGATTTTTGTTTCTGTTTTATGATCATTTGTCAATCTAATAGGTAAATAGATTATCAGCCTCCTGTGCCTGACACACGCCTTCGTCTTTTTGGGTTTAAAGCAAGCCAGTTTGCTCACCTTTCGAGCGAATGTTAAAGAAAGTCTATTAGTGCACAGCCGGGGATCGAACCTAAGAACTCAAGGATGAGAGTCGTTCGCTGAAGCCACTAGGCCGGCACTTCTCTCATTTTTATGTACATATAGTATATACTTCATTCATATTAAAATAATAACTATTTATTATATTTAGTTTTAAAGGGATTAACGAATAAAACTTCAACACTGTTTTTCCGCACAAGTTAAATTAATGGTTCAGTCCCAATTCCCAGTATGTATTACAAATATTACCATTTGAAATTTAAGCTTTAGTTTAAGAGACTTTCATCCCTGATTAGTTAAAGTTGAATGACACCAAGACGAGTCCTTGAGGAATAGTTTAAAAAGGAATGCATTAATGTATTTTTAAGAGTTGCATGCATTTTAATAATTTTTAAAAATGGAATATCTTATACATTTGTGATGCATTATTCACAATGTATTATTTTTTAATAAGTATGTTATTTTAGAAATGATCGTAAC